CCCTCCTGCCAGTGTTGCTCTCCCTGCAGGCCCTGCGTGCAGGTGGCTGGTCTGTGTCCCTGCTGGACCTGGCCGGTGTGGATCACTTTGATGTCATTGAGAAGCTGTCGGAGGACAGCTATATCCTCACTCAGGTAGGCAGGAGGGCCTTGCTGAGGTGGATTGGGTGAGCAGGGCTGGCTGTCACCTCCCAGCAGGGAGGAGCAGGGCCAGGCACTGCTCACGGGGCTCAGTTCCTCATCCCAGGTGATTCTGAACATGATTTCAAGAACATGATGGCATGTCAGGACCAAACACACAGGGACCACAGCACTGCGTGGTGGCAACAGGCAGCTGGTGTTCCCCTGCCTGCTGCCTCCTTGCTCCAGCACAGGGCAGTCACTGCCTCAGACCGCCTGGTACCCCCTCTGCTCAACCCAGCCTAGGCTGGTGCCCCTTCCCTGAGGTGTTCCTGCCCACTGGAGAGCACAGGGCTGCAGGGCTCTGTCTGGGTGACCAGGTGATGAAGTTTTTCTCTTGCTGTCCTTTAAACTGTATATTGCCAATAGAAAATAAAAGAGGAATTATTGCTGCCTGGACTTGCCAAACCAGAATGTGACAGAAAAGCTCCAGGAGCACAACTGCAGCTGTGAGACTGGGGTGATACAGGTCTCTGGGAATGGGGGTGATGGAGCCATCTGGCCTTGTGCTCCTCGGACAGTCCTGGCCAGACACAAACCTTGGTGCTGCTGTGTCAAGATCCTGGTCTTGTGGCCAAGAGGATCCCAAGTCCACATGGAGCATTTTTATCCCTCCATGGGGACCTCTGCCAGGATGATGTCCCTGCTGCAGAGCCAGAAAACAACCTGCACAGCTGCAGTACCACCAGAACACCTTTATTTTGTGCACTGACCACCCTAAGGGTTGGAGTCTCCCCAGAACCGGGCTCATACTGGTTTGCCAGGATGCCTGTGGGGCAGATGTCATGTTCCAACCAGCAGGGAACACACCTGGAGCACACAGGGGCTGGACCCAGCCTCTGCTGCAGGCTGCCAGGATGGGGCTGGGGCAGGCAGCCTGGCCTGCCAGCCTACCAGCCACAGCCACAGGGCTGGGAGGATGCTCAGGCTCCCCTGGTACCCGGAGAAGTCGGGAGCAGCCCCAGAGCCAACTCCTCCTGGCACTTCCTGGCCACAAACTCCAGCTTGCTCCTTGCAAGCTCAGTGTCACGGGCCGAGACATCGCGGTGCCAGACAGCACGCACAGTGTGTGCTGACCAGGGGAGCAGCAGGACACTGACAGCCTGCCCAGTCTCAGCCACCTCCTCCTCGCTGACGGCACGCAGGCGGTCACAGAGCTCGGCAGGGGATGGCCAGGGCTCCTGGACACTTACCATCACAATGTTGGTCTCCACTGCTGCCAGGTTGACGGAGCAAAGGGGCACATCCAGCGCATGGATGCCTGTAGGAGGACGGGGTGGTGGGTGTGAGCCCAGTGTCTGGCTGACTGGAAGAGGCTACCTGCCCCAGCCCTGCTTCAGGTGATGGCTGAAGGGCAACCCTCTGCCCACCCTGTGTGGCACCAGGGTCACTGTAGGCATAGTCACGGCATCATCGCAGCACTTCAGTCAGGTGAAGATCCCAGCAGCATCCTCACCTGGCCGGAGACCCAGCATGGTCACCTGGGGATGCTGCCCAAGCTACCATTACCGTGGCAGTGCCAGGCAGTGCTGAGCGTGCCATTACCTCCTGGTGCACCAAAGGGCCCTGAGGTACCTTCTGCAAAGCGCCGGGCGTTGTCATGGTCCCTGTGCAGTGTCACCTCTG